TTGAGTAGTAGTGAGTGTAGTGTGTGGTGGTGGTGGTGGTGTGTGTGTGTGTGTGTGTGTGTGTGTGTGTGTGTGTGTGTGTGAGAGAGAGAGAGAGAGAGAGAGAGAGATACTGCAGTGGAAATAAGTTTAATACCAGTATTCTGTGTCCAAAAAGAGCAACCTTGGTACAGATTGGGAGGCATAATGGACAGCTCCATCAGCTGCCCCAGACACTTCCTTAATATAATTTTGCAGTTGAATTTCATCATTTTAATATGTGGCCTATTTTTCACAGTGACTTCTATGAGATTTTCAAATGCTTGAAAAACATTATTAGCCTGATCCAAAGTACATTGGTACATTAAGCTGGCACAGGGGTCAATGCAGAGTACAGCAGAGTATTGTAAGTCATATCTTGAAGGACAGAAACGGCAAGGAGACATAATAGTTGATGCAATAAGATGAGAAAGGGGAAAGAGTTGAATCAATTCTACCTTGTTATACTGGGTCGCCTTTGGGCTCTGAGTGCTAGGAAACCTGCTATGGTGTTTTAGTTTCTAAATAAATGTAATGTGAATTAGTCTTGCCTTGACTGGTTTGTTGTGATTTCAGAAAGGGAGAAGCACTTTTCATTGAGTTGAAATGTCCAAAAGGCAGAGGGATAAGTAAATATATCTTTATCTGATTTCAGTTAATACCTCTTTTTCCTTTACAGAAAAACTTTAAGTAATTTTCTCAATTAATTTTAGTTTTTGGTTGTTTTCAGTTAATATATCATTATAGTACATGAAACAGTGTCTGTGTTCCACTTCCTCACCATTTTTCAAACTTTTTTTTTTTTAGTAGAAGTGGTTAGTGATTCATTACAGTGTGTGCCATTTATAAAGATGTCCCTCAGTACACAGGTCAGTGACATGAGTCAGGACTTCAGTCTATTACTTGCAGTTCCTTGAATGAGATGCAGAAGGCTTGAGGTTCCATATACATTTCATTTATTAGGACTTTCACTGCAGTCCAGTCATATACTACAGTTTTGGACAGGCTCCTCAACACACTGGCCAGACAACCTAGCTATATTCTTTGAAGTTCTAACCATCTGCCCAGGTCCTTAGACAGAAATGAACTTGCTGGCTGGAATTACCTCTCCAAGGTAATTCTCAGTTTTATGCTAGTCTATACCCATTACCTAGGGTGACCAGATGTCCTGATTTTATAGGGACAGTCCCGATTTTTGGGTCTTTTTCTTATATAGGCTCTTATTACCCCCCATCCCCGTCCCGATTTTTCACATTTGCTGTCTGGTCACCCTACCTTTACCTGGGGACTCCTGCAAAGGGAGTGGCTTACAGGACACAGCTTCTTTATTAAAAAGGCCATTTTTGTTTATATTTTGCCAACTGGATCCTTGCACACTGTATCTAGTCTCACTACTCTTTGGTTGAAGAACACAGACATTATATATTACATTTTCTCCCCCCAAATTACTTTTCCCAAGAGTGTTTTTCAATAGTGCGAGTAAGAAAGATGGGCAATAAAATTATTTATATATTTTTGTAACTTTATTCTCTTTTTAATTATAAAACACCTTTAGTGTTCTGGAACAAGGTTAGTGAGACTATTATAATCATTGCTGCATAATTTATCAATGATAGCTCTGTAATTTTTTCAGTGCACATATTTAATTAAAATAGCATGACCTTGAATGGACCATGTGACTCTGGCTTCTCTTTCAGAATAAATGCTGTCTTAGAGTGAAATCACAGTGAGAAATGTGCAGGTAGAACATTGCTATTTATAATGCGATACTAATGGGTCTTGTTTGTTTGAAAGTTTTTATAACTCAGCAATCAAAATTCACTGTTGGAGGAAATTTATGTATGACTAATTCAGTTTTACAGGCATTAGTTTAACTGTTTTGGAATTTCAGATGGGCAAAACTGCTTTACTGATTTGTGATTATTTATTTGGTGCTTGGTTACTTAAACACATACAGTTTTGAAATGGTAAAAAAAGTCAAGCTTTTATCCCATTAGTAAGCTAAATATTTTTTTAAAGTCCAAAGCATTAGCCCTCAAGTATTTCACATAGAAAAGAAGATCCTCTTAATGCAGAGTTGCTACATATCATCGGGTGGGGCAAACCTCATGGAAAAATAGTTAGCAGTCATGACCTTATGTTGAACATGGAGGTGTGGTCCACAATCCATAAGGAGTTTAATAGACAGAATTACTGCACAGCTTTGTACTGTGAAGATAAACACATAAGAATTTCAGTGTGATAGCAACCATTATCATTTATGTCCTATTAATAATAATCCACAGAGTAAGTATTTGCTGGAGATTATTTACTATTTATTGTGCAACTTCTCCATTATGACCTTGTTGGTAGAACCATGATGATTCTTTAAAAACATGTAACCCCTTTGGGGTTTAGAGAGCATGGCCCTTTAAATCTTTTTCCCAAGGGGGAGGGGAGAGTAAGAAAAAAGGAGGGAAACTCCAGGGGGCAGCGCTGGAGCTCCAGGGAGGGGGAGAGGCAGCCTGCAGGACCGTGAAAAAGTAAAGCAGCAGAGAACCTGCCTGAAGCCTGGGAAGGACAGGGCCAATCGGGGACACCCCAGGACAGGAGGCAGGAGAAGCACTGTGCCAGGGAGGAATCGCCCGAGAAGGACAGGCCGGAGCTGGACCCAGTATCACTGCTGCCCAGAGCTGCATGGGGCTGTGAGTACTGGGGCTTGGGACTCTGCATTGGGGACAAGGAGGGAGGTTGCTAGCTAGTTAAGTGGGGAGGTGGTCGCTCTGTGTGGCTTTGCAAAGAGCGGCAGAAGAGGGCACCGGAGGAGTTTGTTGGGGGAAAGTTCACTGGCGCCGAAGACGACCAGGAGCACCCAAGACTCACCACTGGACTGGAACTTTGCTC